AATTTTTTTTTAAGTTACTTGTGCGTAATATAAACATTACATACAAACGATTATAAAATAGGTGGTTTTATTTAACAAAATCTTTGTTATATTGTCATAATCTAAGCGGAACAATTTGCTTCAAAGACGGAACAACGCGCCCCAAAGCGGGCCTGAATGTTCCGCTCCGAAATTTGTCAAAAAATTGCCTCTATGAAAAAGACTATTGAGATATTAGTAGAAGTGACTGTACTATTACAAAAAGCGATAAACATTTATTCAATAATTACCACGTGTTGAAAATCAAATCCTTCATTTTCAGTATGAAACTTCAACTTATTTGAAAATCGGAACGTTCAATCCCGTTCTCCACTACAACTAGTACCTACTTTAAAAAAATCTATATTCTTAAAAGGAGTATATTTCGATTAACGCCTCCGTTTGCCAAGTACTACAAGTGCGCAAGTGCCTGGGTACTAATATGGTCCTCAATAACCTAAACAATTATGACCCATCAAAAACTTCAACCTTAGGTACTTGGATTTTTGTCGGCTCAAAGAATATAAACGCTAAGTTTATCTAATGTTAAATAAATTTAAATGACACTATAATTATATATAAAATAGTTGCTTTAATCAAGACCTCCAGACCATAAACCGCTTATTAGACTGCCATACGAGTATAATAATAAAAAAATCCAAAATTAGGCTCTGCACTCGCCTTAAGAATGTACCTACCTGTACTTGGTGATTGGGTGGAGAGTTTTTGTATGGTTGAGAGAATTTTCAGTGTGGCAGGGTTCATAGTATGAAGTCGTACACGCCCGGAATGCTTCCGCAGCCGCCTCTGTGTGGCCTGAGCATTAGTTACAATTATATCTTTTATAATTTTATTTAGCATGAATTATAAAATAAAATTGTATAAACATTGCTAAATGTAATTTTGTAAGCCCTACTTCGCTTATTTTCACAAATTCTATAAAGAGTTCAGTATGTAAAAAGTTAAATATTATTTAACTTTCGACAGATGTCACTGTGAAATACGTGGAAAAATCTTAGACTATGGAATTATTTTTTTCCATGCTCTAAAGGAAAAATACAGGAATAAGTTCAGAATAATATTTTTTTTGAAAAAATATGATGTTGTAATTTTAAGTTTATTGAATGTCACAATGTTTGACCACCATGATATTCAATTATTTTTGTGTTTTATTATAACAAACTTCACAGTGGAGTATAATTACTCCACTGTGTAGTTTGTTATAATTGTTAATAAAAAGATCGAAACTCAGAAAAAATTCCTTCGATCCGGCAGATTCGAACCAACGTCTTCCAGCAAACCGTGCCAGACGCTATGCCAACTAAGCCACGGTACAAACTAGCGGACCTTACGAATTTTTCTGTGCTTGTTACAGATCTTTATTTTGGTTTTTAACGGTCAAACATTGTGACATTCAAGAAACTTAAAAATTACAATTATTAAAGCGACATCGCTAGTCAGCTGCCGGTAGCTGTAAAGGTACCTGGCTGAGTGAATAAATAGTTTTCTCACAGTTGCGATGGCGCTACGGCAAAAAAGTCGTTAAAAACCAAAAACAGATCTGCTGTTGCACATCGAAAAATTCGTAAGGTTCGTTAGTTCATTCCGTGGCTTAGTTGGCATCTAAATTGTTGGCACAGCGTCTACCACGGTTTGCTGGAAGATGTTGGTTCAAATCCAGACGGATCGAAGGATTTTTTCTGAATTCGTATTCAGTTCCTTGAATCCTTGTTTTCAAATGGATTTCTTTTTTACATAATCCAACATTAAGTATGCGCATTAGAGACCGCGAGTCCTTCTGGAATTTCATCACATTCTGGCAGAAGAATAAAAATATACTTAAATAGCAACACCATTAAATTATAATTACCAAACAGCATAAATTGTAAATTAAATGTAGACTTTTGTTTCGTAAGTCCTTTCATAGCCAATTTAATTTTGTGGTTATCAATCACGCCGTTAAATCTATTTTGGTGTTGATATAGACCGTACCTATGCAATGAACGTATATAGCGTGGTGGGTGCAGAGGGGGCCATGGCCCCGGGCGGCATAGCAATGGGGGGAAATTTGTCAGCAAAATTTAAGGTTGGGCCCCGGGCGACAGAAATCAACGCTACCGCCCGCCGCTGCGCTTAGGTACCTACACGTTACGTACATTGTGAACAAATTGCAACCTTTCTTCACTGTATAGCAAGGCGAGTAAGCTAAAGAATTCCTAAACAGAAACCTAGTGCTAATGTTAATGAGCGGCAGATTTGAAACAATGTTTTGAGAGCCACAAACATTGCGTCGATGTTATAGCCCTATCGTTCCCCGAAACGCAAGTTTTACCTTAAATATCCATTGGCCGTTACGCGATGGTGAGGTCATTAGTGAGCCCAATAAATGCAATGAAAAAGTTATTTCTGACGCAAAGTAGGTCACCTGAGACCGTGCGCTGGGAACTCCAAAGGACACTCTTTGAAGAGTCCATGCGGATGCGCGTAGGGTGCTATGGCAGAACCTACCGACAGATCCGCCGCGGGGGAGGGGGATCATCCACTGAACTTCACAGTTGAAGCTATGTTGTCCTGGCTCCCAGTATTGGGCAACGTGGAGTTCGTTGCCCAGCATGGAGGGGCCTGAGATGGAAGGTTTGTCTGGTGTTCGGCGAGGCTTACATTTGGAGTCTGGGGATCGTTGTATCTCACTTCCCGGAGAGGGGCTGCGCTGGGCGCGGCCAGCCGCTGGTGAAGGTGCGGACGAGGAAGAACAAGGAAGGATGGGCTGCACCCCTTCAGAGTTTAGCCCAGTCCTACATGACCCCGGGTCTGCCCTAAATGTAATTTAAAAAGGTCACCTGACACGACGTGTCAAGTAACTACGAAAGTATAACTTTGATAGTTGAGTAATTGTACATACTGGATAGTCAGATTTAAAAGATACGAGAAGAAAAAATTTACTCTTTTTGGCACGACGACTGATATTCAATTTCACTTTCTTTATTCAACTAAGGTATGTACACACTAGCACATCAAGCTACACATTGACGTATCTTGTTCCGTTGCACTGGAGACGATTTTCGAACAAAAATGTGTAGTCTGATGTGCCGTTGTTCGTACATACAAAATATACTTATATTGAAAAATATTTACAACTTTACTTACACTATCAGGCTAGGCTGCAACTATCAAAGTATTTCTCATTGCAACATCACAGGCAAATACTTGATAAATACATCGGTAAAACAAAAAACAAAAAAGCGTAATATAAACAATATATGTGAATTAGACATGTGCACCATGCCGCGCCGTAGCCGCTGCTAGTGAATTCAACAGGCGTCAAAAGGTGGCCGTCAAGATGGCTGGACTTTGGACGAGATATAGGAATCAAACGTTCTTAAGTTAATAAGATGTATACTTTTATCATTATAAACTCGAATTTTATTTTATTCCCTCTCGATGGCGGCACTTAACTTACATTAATTGGAACTTTTTATTCCATTTGGTTTTTTTATCACTGGCAACCTACTGGGATACTTTCAATTCCATTTGCCGCCAATAGCAACAACAGATCTTTTTATCCCGTTTGTCACCACCTGGTAACATATGGGATTTTTTTCCCATTTGTCGCCAGTAGAAATCACCAATGGCAACAACTGGGATTTTTTTCATCCCGTTTGTCACCACCTGGCAACATACGGGTTTTTTTTGCCCATTTGTCGCCTCTGGAACTCACCACTGGTAACAACTGAGACATTTTTATCCCGTTTGTCACCACCTGGTAACATATGGGATTTTTTCCTATTTATCGCCATTGGAAATCACCACTGGTAACAACTGAGACTTTTTTATCCCGTTTGTCACCCCTAGTAACATATGGAATTTTTTTCCCATTTGTCGCCAGTGGTAACAAAGTCAGTGGTGACAACTGGGAATAAGCGAAATCAAACTGTGCTCATTATTTACTACCTATTTTCTACTATTTAGTACCTTTATTGACATATTTTCTACATTCGCACTAACGGAAATATTAAAGAAATAAAGTGGCCAGCCATTCTGACGTCAGGGGGCCTACCACAACCTTTTAAAACAATATTACTTTAACGTTACATTGACTTTTCGTATCATAACGTGTTTAAAGTAAGCTTATTGTAATGTTAAAACTATAATGTTTTATTGGCAGCTTTGTGACTATTCATTCATTCAGTTCGTACTATGACGCGACTTTAACATTAAAGTAATATTGCTTATAAGTCAAATTTAGCAATCTTAAAATAGTTACACGGATGCAATAGAAACTATATTATTTTCAGTTTTATTGTCTTAGTATTGATTTGTAATGATTAAAAGTTAAATTGAAATATCTTGTTTATTTTTTATTTAATAGCACATAGGAAATAAAATCTCGTTAAATAAAAATACGCCATGTTTAGTTCGTAAAATCATGACAGCCCCATCTATGTGCTACTTGGCGAAACTAACAGTTGAAATTAGAATATATAATTCCGAATTCACAACGTGACTATCAAGACCCAGCTTGTTTTATTTACTTTTCTTCATGAAAATACGGAATAATTATTGAAAACAACGTAATTTAAATAGATTTTATTATTACATACTTTTCTTTTTTAACAGTCAAAATTCTCTGAATGCAAATAACACTATACTACGTACGTACTTAAACATTATACTACGAGAAGACGATCGGAACGCATAGATTTAGTATAAATCTATGTCGGAACATCAAAAAAGAAAGAGATGGCATTATATACTTCACATAGCGTTAACTCTTTCCTATTTTTAGTAAGGAATAGACGTTATGGGGAAATAAAATCAAATCAAATCCCGGACTTGTAAACATATAAATCCGTGGCAATAATATATTACTTGGTTGACAGGTTTGTCATGGTACGAATCACAAATTAGAAAAATTGTACGAATATGAGTAATATTATAATAAGCTTACTTTAAGTTTACATTGAGATATTGTTTTTGGAAAGGTTATGGTAGGCCCCCAGGTTGGCTTGACCACTTTCCTTTTTTTATGGTTCCAGCAGTGTATAATTTACTAGCAGAATGTAATTTTTATGTCAATTACATGGACAAGATAAACTGTCTTTTTAGAAGATACCATTAGCAAAGAAGAAGCTTCCTAAAATAGTGAAAAAAAGTATGATTAGGTGGCAATTAGGTAGTAAATAGTTATATAAAAAAAGTAAATTATATACTGCTAGAACCATGAAAAACGTAAAGTGGTCCAGCTAACCTGACATCAGAATGGCTGGCCACTTTAATTCTTTAATATTTCCGTTAGCGCAAAGGTAGAAAATGTTATTATAGTTACTAAATAGTAGGAAATAGGTGGTAAATAATGAGGACAGTTTGATTTGTATATCTCGTTTTATCCAGCCATACTGACGGCCCCGAATTTAAAAATTAAATGTTAAACTTGACTACACGTAATCTTGATCCTGTAGATATATTCAAAATGGAAAAATGAAAACAAAGGATTGTGGTTAACATTAACATTACATAGCGTATGATTTATAGGTGATATTTAACACGAAGTTCAACAGTTAAGGGAATTAATTATTGAATTTAGTAGGTATAGTAAGATTTGTTTTGTAAGGGCCGTTATCATTGTTTTGTAAGGGTCGTTATCATATACTTTTTAAAAAACCTTTGGCGCTTACAATATTTTACTGTGCTATTTTCTGTAGTATACTCTAATTAGTATGTACATCTGACTTCTGGTTTTTCAAAATTTCAAAAGAAGGAAACATAAAAACTTTGATTGTATCTTAATTTATTTCTGTTAAATGAATGTGTCAGGGCTAATGCAGCATATAAGACATGAAAAACTGATTTAAAATCATTTCGTTACTCTTGTAGTATTAATAAAAACATGTTTCAAGCTACACCAGAGATTTAGTATATTGGTACCCAGTATGTATTTTAAGCTAATCCAGAAAAGAAATCGGAGGCATTCTCTATGCTACTTGAAGGCAAGTTGTTGCTCATGTCACGTTTCTTGTTTTGTTTTTTATTTACATCAATAATAGAGTCAATGGATTCAAAGTATGAAATGTTCCAAAATTTCACATCATTGTCATGTGAACATGATGCAATATACTGGCCATCGTGACTTATATCTAGACAGTCTACAGGCAATCTGTGTTGACCAACTATGCCAAGTTGACGCTGAGGAAACATATGTGCAGCTCTTAAAATGCCATCTTCACCAGAAGTCACTACAATGTTCTGTGTGATTGGTACCATACACTGAATGGAATGTTTTTGTCCTACATACTCATCACTGTGCAAGCCAAATTCTTTCCAGTTAAACAAATACAGTCTGCCTTTTGATGATCCAACTAACAATTTTGTGTCAGAACGAAACAGCCCCATACAAGTAAGATCAGAATCATATTCTTCAGATGTGGTGTAGATTTTACTGCAACAAAAAATTCATGACAATAAATCCAATAATTTTATAATTACCATAATGGTAGTTTGTAAGTATGGGAGACAACATAAGTTAATTTTGTAGTAGTCAATATCCAAAAAAAAAACACCTATTGTCTAAAATATACCACAGAAATGTACCATTGAATCTTACCTTCCTTTCAAATCAATAGAAGTTAGCGTACCATCACCTCCTGCACACACCAAATACTTCTGAGCATCATTGCTGATCATATCAGAAACATATTCACTACCAATCTTAATGCTAAATATTGGGTCTGGTTTTCTCATATCCCACAGTTTAACAGTTCCATTATCATCACCTGAAAGTTGAACAATATTTAACTACTGAAAGAAGTACAATTTGTGCTACCAATAAGAAGTGTATATTAAATATATCACGAAATCAAGAAAAATATTAGGGGTAAGGAAGGAAATTGTCATTGTGAAGTTCTGGCCACTTTGAAATTTACTTAATTAACTAAGTAAGCTCTTTTGAGTGTAAGATTCACATTCAATTCAATCATTCAATTCTCTATTGCATTAACTCTCTGCATGGTAGTCCGGCATGGTAACCGTTCGACCACAGAGGCAGTTAAATATACCGAAACAATTTCATTTAGCAAAGCAGTCTTTCCTGCATCTCCTCCAGTGACTCGCCTTAACAATGTGTGTGGAGTGGATACAACTACCCAATGCACTGTGCATTTTTGGATGATAATTCTATAGTGAAAATTTTAAGGGAATCACCAGGGTTTATATACAAACTAGTAATTTTTATATTAACTAAGTACTAATTTTCTAAAACATTTATCCGATTGAATTTCCCTATGTTGAATGACAATTTCAAACTTTATCACAATTTCTTGACTTTGAAAGTGCATAGCTAAAATAAATACTTTGCTAGCTTTTACTCACCAGTAACAATTTTATTTTGATCCAAACATAAAAGACGATATACTGGTTCATCATGTGCATTTTCATAACATTTTTTCAATTTCCCTGTTTCAACATCTGTAGCCATTATAGCTTTGTCCTGAAAACTTTTGGGCATTAATAGAGTTCTAAAGGCAACGAAAGTATATAAATGGGACAATGAATAATATCTCACTTACTTTTGCAGTTGAAAATAATGTAGTTCCTTCATTATCAAATTCAATATCTCTACATGCTTTCAAGTGTAACTCCAAAGTGTTAACAAGCTTTGTTTCATCATTATTGTACTCATAAAATAGAACATCACCTACAATTGTGGCCAGTGCTATGAAGTCTTTGGCTGGGTTAAATGAGATATCTACAATGAAATCTTCACAGGTTATGGTAGGTGGGTGATCTCGGGGTTTGTTTTTTTCATTTATGATGGCTTTGACAACTTCATCATCTTCATCCTCTGCCTCGATCTTGTTATCTGCACTTTCGATAGTCCTTTCTTCTTCCCCATCACCCATACTATTTTCATTCCCATTGTCACTCTCTCCACTTCCTGAAATGGCAACAATTCTCAATATTTGTAATGTGTTATAAATATAAATTCGAAAATACTGAAGAGTTTGGAATTGATAAAACCATTGTGTAAGGTACAGTTTAACATAACGATAACATTATAACCTGTTAATTAAAAACAATAATTAAATAAAAACTATTATTTAAAGACTTACCAGATTCATCGATTTCCACATCATCATCACTGTCATCTGATGAATCGCGTTCGAAACCACGAAAGCTGCAAGTCATTTTTATATAACCTACAGAAATTTGTTTTAAGGTTCACTGTTCATAAACGTAATATATTTGTTGTCCAAATCATTGAACTCGGTCTAACCTTCTGGTCCAACCATTTATTAAACTTTTGACACATGTATGCACAGAACACTATACTCACAAGGAGATGTATGCCTCCATGCCTCCGAAGTTCCGTAATTATTGACATACATCATCCACAGACAAAAAATGCAATACTTCCTGGGCCTGGGCCCTTTTATTCTTTTTTGGGCTTCGCTCTAGACCTTTAGGAGGGAAAAGTGTAGTTTTTTTTTGACTTTCAATTATTTTGTGAAATCTAGTTTAAAGTGGAATAGGATAGTGCTATTGTACCTTAATCGAAGATTAAAACGCGAAATTATACGAATCTCGAACTAAAATACCCGTGTCGGCCCATTTTAAGGAATCCCGAGTCAATCCAATCACGCCCGCCGCCTCAAATTGCCTATCCTCTTTGTGGCGGCCATATTTACAGAAGACAGAAACATAATTAAACTTCATGTTTAGACTGATGGCTTTGCGAAAGCCTTAATAAAAAAAAATAAAAAAACTTTTATTCTTTTATTTTAGTGAAGCAACGTGCTCTTTAGCTCCGATATTTATCGAGCCAACAGATTATGTAACGAAGATTATACGAGTTGATAAATGAAAAAAAAAAATGCGGGGAAAAAACATTTAAAGTATTACTTAAATTTTTCAAAACCAATATTTCCAAAAATTACACCTTTTTATTTCGGGTTTCCCGCCGTTTTTCTTTTCTTAGATAAAACAGGAAAATATTGGTTACGAATCACAAAACACGTGCATTATGCTGATTAAGCTTACAGAACATTATATTATGCTCACAAACTAATAAGAGATACTTACTATTACGTTCTAGGCTTTAGTTGATCAGCACTAAAAAATTTTGATCAATTTTATTCATTTTTATGGACAACTCACGCTTGACCAATAAAATTATTATGCCCAAATTGTTTTCGCAAAAAAGACTTAATGGTTCCTCAGACAGTTTCCTTGTATCTTCTATGGTTTCGGATTTCTCCTACTGTCCCATTTAAAAATACACTCTGTATGTTCTCTACTTCAAAAACAACACTATGAAATGCTGTTACTAGTGCTTCTGGTTTAGTGTAAGGTCGACTCGAGGTTGATATTGATACTTCAGTGTCTAAAATTATATTAGAAAATAATTTAAGTTCCATTTCAGTAAAGGTTAAATAAAGGTGTAATGAATTTCACCATTTTGTTGATGTCATAGTTTTAGGAACTAAAAACATAAAATATTATAAAAATGTGATGAACAACCAGGAGACAGTCATTTCGGTTTTCGTTCGGGGCTAGGAGCAAGTGAAACCCTTGAATGTTCTCGTACAAAAGTACCACGACATGCAGAACGATGTTATAATGTGCTTCATTGACTACGAAAAAGTATTCGTTCGTGTCAAACACGAGCTGCTCATGATGCGCTTGAACGATGTCCGTTTTCATGGAAATGAGTTACGGATTATCAACAACTTGTACGACAATCAAAAGGCAACAGTTCGTGTGGAATATGAGAAGACAGAGGAAATAGATATCCGCGGGGTGCGACAAGGGTGCATCTTCTCTCCACTGCTTTTCAATGTTTACTCCGAGGCTGTTATATCGGAAGCACTTGAAGGACTTGAAATGAGGGTGAAAATTAATAGAAAAGTCATTAATAACTTGTGCTTTGCAGATGACACAAAATTCTGGTCGCTTTTACAGAGAGTGACCTTCAAAAGATCTTAGATAGAGTAAACAGATGCTGTGAAGATGCTGTTCTCACAATGAACACCTCAGAAACTAAATTCATGACGATTTCCCGAAATCCTGACTTCGATCTAACTATATCAGTGACTGGTAAATATCTCGAGCGCGTCCGGTAGTACAAGTATCTCGGCGCTTGGATTAATGAAGCATGGGACTCGGACCAGGAGATAAAAACCCGAATTGAGATCGCCCGAGCGTTTTTCATGAAAATGAGAAGGGTGTTGTGCTGCCGAAAACTTTGCATACAACTTGGAATCCGTATCCTCTACTGTTATATCATATATACATTCACTTTACGTTGATATCTGTCGCACATACAATTTGTTAAGTCTCCAGGAGCGTCGTGAGTTGTTGGATATGGGCCTTTTGTTTGATGTACTCAATGGTCGTTTGGATTGTCCAGATTTATTACAGCAAATAAGTTTTCGAGGGCTTGCCCGTCGCATCAGACATACGTCTCTTTTTCATGTACCATTTCACTGCACAAACTACGGCAAAAACTCTGTGCTCACAAGATTAATTACTGGTTACAATAAATATTTCTATGACGTTGATCCCTTTGTAGATAAAAAGCATTCTTTCCAGTCAAACATCAAAGAATTAATTTTCAAACGCGATGCGTAGGTTCACTTAATTTATTTTATTTTGCTCATTTATTTATTAATTTCTTTTATAGTTATAGTTTGATATTTTTATAATGTTGAGAAGTATTTATGATTTATGATTTAGTGTTAAGTTGTATTCATATGTAGGTATAGTGTATATTATTATTAATATTAAGTTTTATTGTGTATAGTAAGTATTGTTTGTATGTAAGTGTACGTATTTAGTTTACTTAATTTGTTTCACAATTATATGTATGTATATAATCTGTATAATTATTTATCATGCTTATGGACACCCCGTGCTCTGTTTTTATTTTAATGTATAAATCGAGGACAACTGTTACTGGCTTTGTAATATGTAATTTAATTTTTTGTAACCTATCATTATTGCTGTTGTTATCCCAAATAAATAAATAAATATCTGTCCAATCGTTATATACGGCAGCGAGACATGGACCATCAAAGAAGAAACCAGACGGCGTCTCGACGCATTCGAGATGTGGTGCTACCGCCGCATGCTTCGTATTAGCTGGATACAGAAAGTCAAGAACGAGGCAGTACTCCTGCGCATTAATACCTCACGCCAGCTTATGCGGACCATCAAGAAGCGCAAAATAACATATTTCGATCACGTGCTTCGACACGATAGATACCGACTGCTTCAACTTATAATAATGGGAAAGGTTGAAGGCAAGAGACGCGCTGGAAGATGTAAAAAGTCACTTACGCAACATAAGGGAATGGACCGGAGTCACGAGTGCGGAACAACTGTTTCGTTTGGCCGTGGACAAGGACAAATTTGTCATATTGACGGCCAACCTCCAGTAGTGGAGAGGCATTTTAAGAAAAAGAAGAAGAAAAACATAAGTCTTTAATTTCCGGACTAGGAATGCAGTCAATATTTTTACAATCACCTAATAGACCTGATGACTTGATTTTTTTTAACAAGATATGTTTGCATTTGATAAGCACATGAAAAAAATATAATATAATAGATTTTTTTTGGTCTTTTACTTAAGTTTTGGCTTTCACGTTATATTTCATCGACTACAGAATAAAAAAATTGCCACTTCGATTTTCCGTTTTCCTCGACACGTTTTTTAGCGAAATAATTGTACCCATCTCTCAAACGTCACTTTGACAGTAATACTGTCAAAAGTGACGTTTAGCTGTATCATCGATGTAGGGCTCGTTTTACTATTTATTTGTTTATCTGTTTTTACGTCTCTTTACTTACGCACGTTAATGTTCGTCGTCTTCACTTGTTTGATTCATGCGAAACAAAGTTGTATTGTAGCTGATTGTAGTCCAATGAGTTTAATAAGTGTTTTTAGGAAAACTGTGGTTTCACCAAAAGAGTGTTCAAACGATACCGAATAAGTGCGTGTTTTATAATAAAGTTGCAGTATTAGATTTGAAAATATTATTTTTTCGGTACGTACCTAATTTCGATTCAATTACTTTGAAAAGATGCTCTAGTCATTAAACGGGATGCATTCCGCTTACTTGTTTAGTTTATATTATGTAATTTAAGTACCTAATAAGTAGGTAGGTAATAAGGAGGTAAATAAAAGTTATATTGTGAGAAAAGCAATATATTCCGGGGGAAAAAAATACACGGCGTAACGAGAAGTGATCGCTCCATGAATTATTTTGAAGATAATATAAATTAAATATAAATTAAATTTGAAGAATTTTATATTCACTTGAAAATTATTTTAATATCTTACAAAATGTATGCAGTCAGTTGGACATTTATGTGGGAAAAATATTACTTTTCTGTTGGGCCCTTTATGGATATTACTTACGTGACAGTAGTTTACTATTCCTGTAATACCTACCTAGTACCTATACATACCTACCTAAATAATCTTCAAAGAACAAGATCTCTTAAGGTCAGAATATAGTTGAACTACAAACATGTTTATTAAGTAAATAAATACCCTATCCTTTGAGAAGACCACAGTGTTAGTTTAGACTGCACATGATAAGATGAGCATGAATTGATACTCATCAATCTTGAGATCCACAATATTCACCAAGAAAGATCATCATTTTGTCAGTTCTAATCTCAAAATTCAACTGTTATATCCCTTGTTATATCATGAATGTTACATTCTATTGTTATGTCATGAAATGAACATATGAATAAAAAAATTATGTAAATTGGATGAGAGAGATAAAATATTTTTGCAAAATTGCATAGATCTCATAATCAAGAATAAGTGGAAATGAATATTGTTATCCTCAGTCATTATCATGTTCTTTATTTGTATGCTTTTCCATTTTTATTACATTCTGCCTTATTGTGTAATCCAAGAGAATTATGTGCACCTTTATTTAGCCTTGTTGACCACGCTGTGTTTCTAAGTATTGATATTGTTTATGTAATTGGTGGTGGTTTGTGTTACAGCTTCATGGTAATAAATTAATCCAAGATTACGTAAACATTAAATATGGATTAAGATGACCTTCCTCTTGGTGACAATAGGGTTGTTACATATTGAAATAGATACCTCCTTTGGAATCATCATTGCTTTCTCAGTCTCAGATTAATCACAATCAGTGTTATGGAGAAAAGTTTCGAAAAAAATTCGGGGTAGCATGTTATTAATAATGGTACTATAATACTGAATAATAAGAAAACATTTCACCTTTTTCTAAACATTTGCAATGGAAATGGCAACTACGACTTTGAATTATCTGGAAAACACTGCAATATTTTATAGATTGGACATGGAGGCTCGCATTTGTTAAAGCGCCACTACATGGCAAAATATTTAA